ATTTTCTTCCTGCACTAAATAGCTTCTAAATTGGCTCCCCCAGAAAAATCCTTTGTGTTTTCATCAAACCAGCTGTGTTCTGGCTGCTGCCCACTTCAGGGTCAGTAACTAAATTGTAAGTACCACTCAACAACCAAAATTCAAACTGTCTTCAAAGAAGAAGCACTTTGATCACTGTAAAGTCAATGTGAGGATTCCCTCCTGGCTTTAATTCCGGGTTTGTCAGGAATTAAAGATGATTATTCATGATGATTATTCAGATGATTTCCAGATGATTATTCATGATGATCAATGGTTTTAAATGATTATTGTAAATTGTCTCTAGGAACAGTAATATTTATCTTAGTTATGTTCTTAAACATGTCAAATACAAGGAAATTCTTTGAGTTTAAATGGTCTCTGAAAAGCATAGTCATACCTCTGACATAATGTATCAATGTCATGCAATCTATGCGAACCCTTCCTTTTGCTAAATGAATATTTACAGTACGACTAATGCATAGCAGCGTTCGTTCTAATCCATCCACCTCGCACAGAACGAGCCACCCGTTCCCACACAGAAACACTTGCTCTGCACCTGGGCCGGGACCGAGGGGCTGGGGTGGTGGATGACTCTCGATGACAGAGCTTTGACCTGGGTTTACAGTTAACAGATGCTGCCAGATGTGGGGTTTTTACAGCTGTGCGGGGACGAAGACACGGACCGTGTACAATAACAGCCTGCTCTTGTTCAATGATCCCTGGAGCCTCGCAGCCTCGTGAAAAGACATTCTTGTTGGATCTAGAATAGGAAGGAGGCAAGTGTTATTCTCCCACCAATAATATGTTCCCTGAAGGCACCACCTTGTAAACAATCCAAAAGCATCTGTACTAGTAAACATTATATCTAATCAGTTAACCGCTTCACATCCATCATGTTGGAAGAAAAGAAAAGAAAACATTAACAACACAGTAACATTAGAAATGTATCTGGATTTAATGGGATTCAGCTGATCTGACTGTAAAAGAAAATACATCACACCATGGCTCATTTCCAGAGTTAATATTTAGGTCATCAAGCTGCGAGGGGAAACGTGCACATGGGTGTGTGCATGTATGTAATCCGCAATGTGTTTTTAATAGTCTTCTAGGTGTAAAAGGTTAATGCTTCTTGTTCAGTGCCATGTGGATGAGCGCAGAACCACGTCATTACCGCGTATTTGGACAGCTGACAGAAATAGACGTCACTTTTTTTTCCTTTGCCTTGCTACACGTGATCAAGTGCAAAAAGCTCCGGTTTGTGCAGTCACAATGCTCACAGCATAGCTCCTAGAAAAAAAAAAGAACTTACTCTTTGACCTGTAAATTTGAACTTATTACTACGCACGCTTGCGCATTAGCACAAGAAAAAAGGTTCAAAATGTCATTTAAAAAAGTAGGATTATAGATCACAAGCATTTTTTCCCCAAGATCTGACTGAATGCAGTTGTGTTAAAAATGCACCGATTAAATAAGACAATGCAATACAATGTCACATTCCCACTCTAATTCAAGCAACTTGTCTTTTAAATTGATTTTGTTCATGTTTTTTCTTTAAATTTTTAGTTGCCTTTATGTCTCTTTTACTTCCCCGATTTTTCCCACAGCCTGTTTATTTCCATGTCATTTTTTTTATATTTCCTTGTTTCTCTTTTCACATTTCCTTATCCACTGCAGCCTCATTATGAAAATCATATTTACTGTCCTTTTAGGAGCGTAATGGGGTCAGCTTGTCACCTATTGGTCAATAAACAGGAAAGTTAAGGAGCTGTCCGTCCTATATTTAACAAATTGTTTACATTAGAGTGGAAATATAACCTTATGTCACATCTTATCATCAAATGAGTGCATTTTTGTGTATTGATCTCTTTATCAAGAAGCTTATGTATTTCTACTTTTAATTGTATTTCTGTCTGTTTCAATCCTCCATGACGTTGTGGCTATGACCTACTTAGCTTTTGTACTGTTGAGAAAAGTTCCTAATAAGCACTGGTCATCCTTTCATCCTCCAGGTTTCTATTTCTTTCTGCTCACTTTTAATCGTATACTAATAAACTTTAGGTAGCAAATGCTTTATGTTAGGTGAGTCTTTTAACACTGATAAGTGATAGAATCAAATGCAAAGTTAAAGGAAATATAAAGGAAAAAATTACTTTCTTTGTTCTGGAGAGAATATATTAGGGTGTCTGAAGTCATCAACAAGTGAAAATCTTCTGAAAAGGCATTTCATTTCTTTGTTGGGATTTTTCTCTTTCTTTTACAGAGCCACTCTTTTTTCTATCTTAAACCACACAGTCTCTAAAGTTTACTCTGCCGGGATCATGAAGCCTTGAGCTTGCAAGGATGATGAAGCCAGCCTCACTTAGAAATGATCTATTGTCGGTGTCCTGTGGAGAATATTTCCTACAGCTTAAGTCCCAAAGGCTTTGAGAGACCAGCATGTAACCTATCGGAAAGATTGAACTATTCCCAATAACCACCATCAGATACGATCACTCCTTTCTCAGCTTTGTGGTCTTATTGTAGTTCCCATGAGTACAAACTGTTCTTTTTTAATCGGCTGATTTGTTTTGGCTTTGTTTTTACTTGGTAAATAAATCTTGAGTTCACTCAAGTTTAAAGGTGCTTTACAAATATAGATGAGCTGACACATCTTAATAATGTTTAACACATCAGGAATAGAAAATATATCTAAAAATAGAGTTTATTTTATGACTTCTTTATGTGTGCGTTTACTGCAATACATTTTGATTTGTGATATATGTTAAAAAACCACATGAGTGTGTCTTTTGCCAACAGTCAAGTAAATATAAACTAATCTTTCATCAATATGCCGTTAAAACGTTGATGGCCGATCTTCTTAAGGAGCTCCTTCTTAACAGTTAGTTGAAAGATGCCAGTTTAAACCTATAGTTTGCCTGCATCTGTCAGAAAAAGTCACTTTTTGTTTGCAAACCTTCTTCTTCCCACACAATTAGCTCTGCTGTGTCTCAGCTGTCATGTCACGGCAGGGACAAGAGATCATTTTTCAACCTCTACCCCACAAATGGGAGGGGGGGGTGAGTACTTGCTAACAATTTTGTACTTCTCCAAACAGCTTGTTCTCAGGAGAAATGTGCACTGTGCTCAAACCATGAAATGTTTAGCTTAAAGTCTTTCTTATATATTTGAAACGCATAATTCTTTGGATAAAAATCATTCAAAAAAGTTAAAATTATTTAACAAACCAACTTCAATGAAAAAAATAACCTTTACGACCAGACTCGGAGAAGGTGTCGGTCTATTTTCAGCAATTGGGGGCTGATAAGACTAAAAGAGAGATCAACAAACACTCTGACACCGAAACAGGTATACCCAATGAAAAAGAAAAATGCAAGTTAATGACAACAAAATTGAGAATGGAGAAGAAAGAGAGCAGAGGGAGGAGAGGTGCATCATGGGATGTTTCAGGGTCACCCACCTGAGCCATTTCTAACTATATTCTTTATAAAAAAGGAAAGTCTGAAGCTTAATTTTGAAGGTAGAGAGGGGGTCTGCCTCCTGAACCCAAACTGGCAGCTGGGTCCACAGAGAGGGGCCAGGACACATATGGACTCAAACGCAAGACCCATTAGGACTTAACAGTGTTTTGATGCTAAAAGGAGCCACAGGGAAAGGAATGGAGCTTTAGGTAAAGTCCAGAAGTTGCATGGCACTCGACAGGGATGGTGAGATAGTTAGCGACTGGAAAATAAGCCTTTTTTCCAGGAAACAGTTTTCAGCTTTTTTCTTTTTCTAATCAAACTAACTTGGACTTCTGACTCCGTACAGTATCTTATTTTTGGGGGCTGTTTTGTATTCCAACAAACTTATAAAACAAGTGCAAATTAGTTCATGTTTGTGTTGAGGTCCAGTGTAAAAAAGTGGACCAGACCTGATTTGGGAATTGTAAATTCCTGAAACAGAAGTGAGAGAGAAGTGTGCAGGGCCCAAATGATAAAGCCCAAATGTTGGGTGTTCACTGAGTTGGATCGGGTTTGGTGGCCTATTTTTCGGATTACGTCACAATTTTATACCAGACTGTTAACAAACTACTCAGGACCTGCTTATTGTATAACTACTTAAGCTGTCACCAGGCAAGAGGCGGGCTACACCCTGTAAGGGTCACCACACTATCACACACCACAACCGTGCACACTCACCTACTCCTACTGCCAATTTAGAGTTGCCTATTCACCTAATATGCACTCTTTGGATGGTGGGAGAAAGCTGGAGAACTCATGCACACACATGAACAACATGCAAACGCTACACAGAATGTGCAACTCTAAATGAACGTGACTGGGTACAATTCCAAATCAATCGTAAATATCCTGTTAAATCCACAACATTTGCTGGTCCATAAGCAAAGAGTCTTCACGAGTCCCTGCTGGAACATTAACCCTCCTGCTAAAGTTTTGGTGCAAATTTTATTTGTAGAAAAACAACAATGAGTAATTTTTTTTATGAGGACTTGACACAGTTTATGTCTAATCTTTTGTTTGGCATAAAAATAATTACAGAAATTAATTTCTTCATTTGCTTTAATGGCTTTCATAAGAAATAACTACAGATTTTTCCCAGTCAAGCCTATTCATGAAACATATGCTAAGAATTTATAAAGACCAGATAAAAAATAGCACATGATATATTGTAATAATGTAAAATGTGTATTATATTTATTGTAGATTTGGACCAAAATAAGTGCAGCCTGTCAGTATTAAAGGAAGAATTGCTTTCACCTGCTTCTCCTCCTTTTTACAAGTATGTATACATTAGTTTGTGTGTGTGTGTGTGTGTGTGGGTTGAGGGTTTGTGGGTGTGTGAATGAGAGACAGGGAGAAAAGAAAGCGCTCCCAATGAGGCCAGACCCACCACATTAGTTAGCGAGCACACAGCCTGTCAGCCAACACTAACAGCTGAAATGCCTCAGCGGGTGTAATGCTCAGTCAAAACGCCATCACCCGACCACAATACCCACATCCAGAGCGGCCCAAGAACTCTCTACCACCTCTACCTCGTTCTCTAAACCCACAGGTTAAAAAAAAAAATGCCCTCGCAAGACTCGCATTAGGCGCTCCGCCTTAATTCACCCTGACAACTCTCAAAATATAGATGCAATACTTGCCTCAGATTTAAACGCTCCTTCTTTAGTGAGGTCAATGACATCATTATAATGTTGCTTCCAATATATTTTGGCCTGGGTGCAGGGCCAGATGTTTTCCATTAGCATCCCTGCTAGCCAGCACTCCCATAGGAAGGACTCGGCTATTGAAGGCCCGCATAGTTTTACACATTCTTAAGAAACACAAGAATTTGTCGTCGCTTCACAGCACATTTAAAATATTTCTTTTATATACCGTGGTGCGATTTGCTCGGTGTTACATAAGGAAAAAGATACATTTGATGTCCATTTGATTTACATCTAAAGTTTGATTAGTGTGCCGTTTCGTGTGCATCCATCAAGCTTCAGGCGCTTTTTTCCCATACTGATGTTGACTCCACATATATGATGTTACATAATACTCATATTTGTACCGTCTCAAGTATTAAGTATAAAAAAACGAGCCTCAGAAGTCACAACAGTGACAACAGAACCTCTTCCGAATGTGAACGTTTCACTGTGAAATATTTCATTGGACTTTTTCCCAATTTATTGATCAGAATCAATGGTGACAATCAAGTCAAACAGAAGAGGAATGTTAATCACATGAGGGAGACACCACAATGAGAAATCAGATAATCGGATTAATGGGGGGAGGAAAATATAACACCACATGAGCCTCTCAGTCTGAGCATGAGCAAACACACAATTTTGTTTTTAGATGTTATCGTCAAAATCATATGGCTCTTCTGTCCGTCCCCCTGGCTGTTCTGTCGATACTAAGCGAAGCATTAAATAAAGCTACCGTGTAGCCCAGAGCTAGGATCTGTCAAAAGAGCTTGTCGGTCATCGCTGACGCTTTTCAAACGCGGCTAATAGGGCTGACTGAAATATTCATTTGGAGCCATGTCATGCATGTGTTGAAACGCTAACGTCTTCCAAATGTGCTGTGACAACAGCGAGAGATGACATCATGTGTGCGTAAAGCAATTCTGGAGCTGGAGCCCGGCGCGGTGGAAAGTCCCTGTGTTTCTGGTGAGATGTGAGAGGCTCAGCGATCGCGGGCCCTCGGCCCCCTGGCCACCTCCAGAGAGGCTGACCAATCGCACAGGCATGTTCCCAAACAGCGTCTGGGTCTGTGCGCTATTGTTTATGCGTATGGGAATGTGAAATGACATGCATGTGGAATTACACGCGTGTGAAAACGCCTGTGCGTGTGTGTTTATGTGTGTGTGTGTGTGTGTGTGTGTGTTCCCACCAAGTGGACTTAAGAGTTTGCAGCAGGTGCAGCTGATTAACTAATCCCCCCCTCTCTCACTCTGTCTCCCTAAGAGGAATTTTTGTTAAAGGAATGACTCTACTCCTCTCCCTTTGGGAACATTTGCTTTTGGTCCATTTGGCATTCCTCCAGAGAGAATGGAGAGATTTAGGCTGCTGTGGGGGTAGACGGTCCTTATCCACGAACCCGCCAGACTTCAGGCTCAAACCCAAAGTCCTTAATTGGTGTCACCACGGTAATCAGATATAAAGAGGTTTATAATGAACTTAACTTGCCTCCCCAAGCGAGAACTTTGGAAGACTTTACTAAAACCACCTGAAAATATGAAACATGATCAAAATACAGCCGTAAAACTGCCCTTTTTTCTTTATTCTTATTCCAGCATATGATCAAAAATGAAAAATACACAATACTCAATCTATTCTGAAGCCTAAACTGTTGGGATGTTGAAGTATTCTTACTCTGACTTCCTACCTTAAACCATGTCTCGTTTTCTTGTAGTTTCTGACTCTTTCCTATGACTTCTAGAAATTACCTGCAAACCCTCCACAGCTTCCACGGAAACAAGATTCTGGTTGGCAGTCCGAAACTCAAATTCATGGCTTCTCCAGCCATTTGTGACCGAACCCTGTTCGTTTTCATCAAACCCACTTGGTTTTATTTACCTTCTCCAGTGTTCCCCTCAGAGCTCCCGCAAGCTGCCTGGGTTCCCCATCCAGTCCGACCTGGATCTCCACAGCCATAACCGATTCTTTGCTCGTCAGTAAATCTTTAAACTTTTCACGAGTCCCTAGAGTGTTTTCTGCGTGTGGGTGAAACAATTGGTCAAAGCCATTACATAAACCAGCCAAAGTGCTGTTGAAATAAGAAGTGTGGAACTGGATGACCAGGTGTAATGCATTGACAATATCTCATAAGTTAAAACTGAATAGTCCAGAGTTTACAACAATGCTTGCATGTGGTATTTTAAAGACAAAATAAATCTAAGCCTGACTGATCATGCATTTCTAAGACTTATTCTGAGCTCTTTGCTGTGTCTCACTCTTCATCAGAGAGTGATAATTTGTCATTGAAAAGGTCCAGAATGAAACCCATAGCGTTGGGTCAGATGAAGATAAATGTGACTTAAAACAAACTAAGAATTGATATGGGTGAGTAATTAAAGTGGATTTTAAACTTTTTCTGTTGCAGTGGTTCCCTGGGAACCGCCTTTCGATAACACAAGAATCAATAGTAGCAGAATAAAATGCAAAAAAATCAATCTGATGGTCCGGATGGCCTTTGGGCAGTGGGGTACATATATATTTTGTTCTAATACTTGAGGGATATGCTAATGACATGTCTTTAGATCAGTGGTAGGGGAAATTGGAAAAGCTGAGCTGGTATTACCGGAGGCAGTAACCAGATTTTTAACCAGGTATTGCATTTGTTGGACTTCTCCAGGGAACCGTTAAGACAGGAACAATGGAGGAAATCCTCAGGGGCTGTACTTGATATGAGAGTTGAAGCTGCATTTCTATGAACTGGTCCTGGACTGTACTTGATCATAAAGTTAAACAACACCAGTTCTGAAACTCCACAGATCAGCCTTTTGTGAGTAACTTCATGGATTATTGTACAGTAAGTGGAGACAAAAAAAAGATCTGTTCACTATGGCCTCTCCAGAAATCAGCAATGGCTCCTTTCTTTCTTAAGTTCCCATCTTTTGGTGCTTTCACAGTTTGTGAACAGGAGAAGCAATTTTATTTTAATTTTTTTTGTGAATACCATGAAATAGTACGACGCAAAGCCCCAAAAAAAATTGGAAAGTCCACACAGGGTGGTTGGCTTGGGTCATTCTGCAAGAGCACTTATCTTGGAGGGGGTTGGTGGCAATTCCAAGAGCTGAAATGACATGGAACCAGATTCTTGACCTCAGATTGGGAAAAAAAAGCGGCACTTTTTGCAGCTTGAACTGTAGATTGCGTTCTTTGAACAGACGCTCGAGCCACCTCATCTCGATGTGGAGGAGCATTAATTCTACAGGGCTGTACTTGGTGTTTTCACTCAATTACCATTCTAATTTGGACATCTATTTCATATCTCTGCACTTAAATAATGCAGTTCTGTTCAAGCCAATTAGAATAAAATTCATTGTAATGCAATCGCAATCTACCTGTTCGCTCGAGTCTACAGGACTTTTGACAATTTGGGGGCGGAAACCAAGGAGGGCACTGACCCTCTTATGATTGGTCACTTTCGTCGTGATCACAACCACAGGGACGTCCTTGTACATTGATTGACAGCTCCCATTACAGGAAGCACGGAGTTGGGTTAACTTACCACTGAAGAAGAGTGGGGTAAGTAAATGAATTAGAATGAGATTTCTAATATACATAAAATGTCTCTGACTGCATATAAAATGCTGCGCAGGTCATAGTTAAATCAATCTAATTCATTTACTATCACACATAGGGCACACCGCACTATAGGGCGCGCCTCACATTTTGATGGGAAAAAAAGATGTTTATATGCGCCTTATAGTCGTGAAAATACGGTAATAAATTCAAATTCATTAAATTCCCAACTGGTCTAATTCATATAGGGAACAATAAAACATTTTTAAAAAGCTTTCTAATTTGTTTTGCTGGGGTTTTTGGTAGTGGTCAGGTTCATGGGGTTTGGGTTCCGGTTCTCGACCTACGTCTGAGGGTTGGGCCTGGAGGGAATGGCGTGCGGTCACTCATGGTTCTCAGGGGGGCTTCTGTCTTACCGTTTTGGGGGGCTCTGCTGGGGGGGGCTTCTTCCGTGGCCTACCGGGTGGATGCCCGGTCGTCCCTTTGGTGGTTTTCCTTGGTCTCAGGCCTTCTCCGGAGCGCCGGAGGGTGGGCGGCGGCGGCCAGTGGCCCCTCTGCACGCATGACTGAGCACAATCTGTGTGAAACCTGGGCTGTCTTGCATGTTTATGCTCACACACACACACACACCCAGACACACACCTCTTTAAGCCTCTTTACAGTTGCTGCACAATTATGAGATGCCGGTTAATGTCCTTTCTGCCTGTGGTTTTTGGTTATTTGGTTTGTTTTTTCTGTGGTCGTTTGCAAGTGCTCCTAAAGGTCCTCCATCTGGATTGCCAAAAAGAGACCACAGGAAGTTTTTGTCTTTTACAGATATAGCAGCTGGCTGTATGATTTTCTTTTCTTTCTGTTTTTCTCTCTCTCTCTCTCTGTATAAAGGATCTAAGTTTGTTGTTTCTCTTTGCTCTTCTTTCTACCCTCTCCTGTCAGGTTTGGGATTATTGAATACACGTAAAGTTTTGTAACAAAAATAAATAAATAAAGCGGTATGGGATAATCAAGGGGGGCTTTTCACCCTCTAAGCCTCCCTTGGAAAAGCAAATGTCTTCAGCATAGCCCAGTACTCAGATTTCAGTTCTGCTGCCATAATGCTGATCAGGAAAAGGTTAAAAAAAAAAAATGATATTAAGTAAATAATTCTGCATGTGACACTGTTGAGTTAGGTTCTACCTCTTGTCAAATTGAGAATCTCAGCCTAAATACACCTGTGTGATATTGTTTAGAGAGGAGGCACAGCTGTGTGGTGGTTAGCACCGTCTCCTCACAGCAAAGAGGGTTCCCGGTTCCCCCGGGAACCAGGAACCTTTCTGTGTGGAGTGTGCATGCTCTCCCTGTGGGTTATCTCTGGGCACTCGGGCTTTCTCCCACCTTCTAAACACATCTATGATAGGTTGATTAGAGACTCCAAACTGTCCCTAGGAGTGAATGTTTGTTTGTGGATGGTTGTTTGTCTCTGTGTGGCCCTGCAATAGACTGGCGACCTGTACAGGGTGAACCCCGCTTCTCACCTGTTATAAACTGGGATACGCTTTAGCCCCCTGTTGGATAGAAGTGGTATAGAAAATAGTCGGACAATGAAACAAACTGGCCATTTGTCATATCACAAGCATAGTTACATTTTTTAATGAAGAGTCCATGTGAAGAACATACATTTGCAAATTTAAAGTTTCTTTCATTTGTGCTTATTAGAACTCTGGCTTCAGCACTTTGGAGAATTACAAAAGCCCAATGTTAACTTAACAAATTCATTTTCCTGCATCACTGAGAATAGACCCTCCTAATTTTGCTTAAAGAAAGAGCTCCTTATTAATTGTTTCTATATGAGCATAAAAGCACATCAAAGGTAATTCGATCTAGAATAATTATATAGATGCATAAAATCCTAGCTCATAATGTAGGACATGCTAGTAGTCTGTCAAATTGATTGCATTTTCTTTGTTTCTTATAGCAGTAACAGGTGGATTATTTCAAAAGAACCAAGCAGCACCTCCCTGTGGTCTGTTAGAAATTGGGAACAAAGTCATCCATTTGCTCATGTTGCCATCTAGGGGTATTGAGAGCTTACACACACAAAGAGACAGGAGCGAAACAGAATCTAACTTTAATGCATTTATTTTTATGCATTTTGATCATATTTGATGCAAATTTTACAACTGTTGACAATAGTCTCTACCAGTTTAAAACTGTAAAGCTTATTTATTTTAACTCTCTTTAGTAGTTTAAATTCACTCCTGTGTGTTGACTTACATGTATTTCAAGGTGCTCCTATATATAATACATATGTGTTGCCTTCGGATCCTGATGTTCACACATTGTTATCTTTTTCATATGGTTACTCTATTTTAATTCATGTTTTTGAATTAACTGAATATACAGCATGGTTAAATCAGAATTTAAGGATAATAACAAGTCTTCAGAGCCACAAGAGGGCCCTGCTGGCTGTGCTAGCCTGAGGTTCCATTCTCACACCAGTGTAGCCCCTGACAACACATTCCTCCATTCTGTTGCCTCCGAGTTCATTAAAAACTACATCTGCGTGTTATTAAAACAGGTGAGGTTGCTTAAATCGGTTTATTGCTTCAACGTGTTCCAAACAGATGATTCCTGCACACCGCACGAGTTCACGTTAGTTTCGAGCGTCCGGAGCTTTAATTCCAATTTGCGGTGGTCGTTGTAACAGGTTTGTCCGTACCACATTACAGGCCATCCTCAGAGCAAAACGCAACAGTTCTTCAGTTCCTTTTTGTTGTGGTCATGCTCTAATAATTTTTTATTTGTTGGCAGAGACGTTTTTTATTTTTAGTAGACTGGATTTTTTGGAGATGATATGCTGTTTTACTTGCTTGGAAATGTTAAAATTGTTGTTGAAAAGCAGAAAATCATGACCCAGAGGGTATAAAATACTCTTTTGGGGTCCTTGGATCTTGGATTTTAACATTTGAAGGACATTTAAAATATGTGTCTGCTCAAAGATACAACATGTACACACATGGAATACTGTGCGTATATGTGTAAATCTGCGTTTTGTTTGTATTCATCTTCATAAGACGGAGAAAAGAGACAACAGTTTGACAGGGAACAAGTGTGGTTTCTCTCCAGAACATGACCTGCGACCATCATGTGTCAAACAGTGCTGTGTGTGTGTGTGTGTGTGTGTGTTTAAATGTGAAGGGGGAGTGATGAGAGTATATTACATAACCTGTCAAGGACAAAAAGCATGCAGCTTCTATGTAAACTTGCTCAGTCTCTGATGAACAACAATAATTTCCTAAACTGTGCGTCTGTGTGATCTGTTGATTGGCTGGTTTTCTCCATGTCTCTAATTGGCTAAAATGAGAGGTAGCTTTCAAACTTTCAGGAGAGCAAGTCTTTCGTATAGGTCATGATCCTGTTTAACTTAAGTGTTTCTGTTGGTTTCCTCCACTTCCTGGAAGAACGACAGGATATTCATACACAGCTTCTCGACTTGCCCAAAGAATGCATGAACATTTATCCTTTTTGTGTTCCACCTGTAGATCAACAAATGTCTTCCACTGACTCCCTGTGTAACACTGGAACCGTGACTCCTTCATCTCTGTCATTCACTGCTGACACATCTTAAACTTCCTGTATTGTGAGTTACTTGTGAGGTGTAGTACCCTTAGTCCTACTCAACCCTAAAGATATAGCCGCATTCACTCTAGGCTTGGAGAGCTGGATACCATAATTTAGTTGAAACTTCTCCTTAAGAGGGAGATGTGTCATAAAATTGGACATTAACACATTTTATTGCCCAACAACCATCTATTATCAATATTAATTTAGTAAAGAGTAGTTTTTAAAAGTTAAAGTACCAAAAAAAGTATCCATCTTTGAGGTGCAGGAAAGAGTTTGAGTGTTTGTATGGACTGTTTTTTTGGCTACCCGGGTATTATTTTGAGATCTTATCCGAGTATAGTATGTCTATAGACCACTGTCTTCCTTGGACAGACTTAGGATCAATTTAGAATGTCTAATTAACCTAGCCTTCATGTTTTTGGGCAGTAGGAGCCAAACAAAAACTTCATAAAAGTAGCCGAAATCAAGCATCAGTCATATGATCAATAGTGACTTATCAATAAGATAAGAAGCTATTTTCCCAGCATCCTTTGCTTTTTGGGGGCTGATATTGTGAATTTCTTAAGCTGACCTTTGTTACTTAGTTTTGGACCTTTCCAGAATCCCGTCACATGGAGTTGTCTCTGTTTTGGTCAGCAGTGCTACACAGCTGGCAATATAACCAGCCATTTTTGTTACAATTTTCCAACTTTGGAGCGGTCCATCCCCTTTGCCTCGGTTCAGATATTGCATACTTATGCCGAGTGGTTTTTATTTGTCCGTTTTCATTCTTCTGCCTCGGTGTTTAGCATTTTCAGAAGCTCCAGAACAGGGAGGGTAAATCGTGGTGGTGAGTATAACATGATGAACTGTGAAGTCTTTTAATTCAAGTATCTTAAGAACACTGAGAATTGATCTTAATTATGAGCTATTTACAGATATCAACATGTTGAAAGTTGCATAAGAATAAATATTGACATGAATCACACTAAATTAAAAACAATGTGAAGGAGTTCTGGAGAAATCCTGAAAAAAAAAAAAATTCTTAGCCGTGGCCCATGATTAAGGATATTTTCTTCAAAACAGCTGTTCTGAAGAAAATCCAAAGTCCAAAGTGTGTAAACGTTTAATCACATTGCCTCATTCCTGTCTCAGTACTTTCATCTGATCCTGGATGTTATTTTACAGTTTTATCTGCTAATCTGACTTGAGAGGATTTCTCAGCAGTGCACATTAAGCCTCCAGCACCAAACCAATAAATTGTTCCCTCTCTAATCAGAAACTTTATCATCGATATCAAAAGTCTGCAAGCGCAGAAAACGGACGAGGAGCTGAGGGAGCACGTCGGATGAAAAACATGTCTCCACAAAAGAGTAAACAAGGTAAAACAGGGTTCCTCCATGACTGATGAGGTCAAGCAGATTTCTGGTGAACATCCAGATAGTAAAGTAAAAATCTCATAAAACATACCGCTCGCCAGCCTCTTGTAAAAACGTATCACCCATTCCTTGGACCAGGAAAATAATCAGTGCGAACAGCAATTGAAGCTTTAATAAGTCATGTTTGGTAACTTTATTGTGTGCAGAGAAAACGAGCAGGAGATAACTTGCAAGACGGTGATCACATGCACGACATAACAATCTGTTCCCATGTCCCAGTGCGAAGAAACAAAAAAAACAGGGCCTAACGTGGAGGAAACAGTGTCAGGATGCGGAGATGATCAACGTCCCATTTTTATCCTAGTGAAAGAGGCCGAGTCAAAGTTGTGTCGTCTGAATTATACTGAAGAAAGTCTGGCTGTTTTGTGCATTATACGGTGTTATGTGTAAAGCTCTGAGAAAAAAAAGCATTTCAAATCAAATGAGACATTAACTGAGCTGTAGTAGTCTGATTCTTCCAAATAAGGCTCTGGTTTCAAATGTTGTACTCTTGAGCAAGACTTTTTTTATGTTTCTGCAAAATATTTTTACTATAACACATGACACAGAAACTCTACTTTTTAAAGCTCTTTTGGACACCAAATGTTTCTAATAAAAAAGCAATTTTGTGTGATGAAATCCTTTTCATTTCAATACAACATAATTATTCTGAAATGAATCATCTGTTCCACAATATATTCTGATACTGGGTTTTAAATAAATTAAATTGAAGTCTCATCAGTTATGGACTGTTTCTTTATCTTGACGTGTTCAGATAAGAACATAGATTTATCTATTTATTTTTTACCTCTTAGTTTTGAACTTCTTTTGCACTGCCACACCCAGACTCCTTTGGATTAACTACTTTTACCCTACCCCTTTGTTTTGACAGAATAAGGTGCCCCTTTCCCTTCTGGGACCAATGTTACTAATGACCATAAATCCTTTAAATAAGGACATTGAAGGAACACTTTATTGAACTCACAAGGATCAGGCCAATTTGAGGGACTGGGGTGGTAAACTTTTTGGTAAAAAGGTTAAGACAGAAACAAATATTGACACCAACAGGATCTTACCATATCCTTTAGAGTTTAGGATTCCTACAAGCCGATTGGCTGAAAATGACCATAAACTATTATGACTATTATTACTATAACTAATCATTTTGCCATGTGGTTTCAAATACAAGGGCACTTTACCATTAAAGCATATGCTGCTTTACTCATCATTTGACACGAAGTGGGAACAAACTAAATGACCAGGATATTACTTTAGAAAGGTTAAACAATTTTTTTGTATGGCGAGCACATTGATAATGTACCAATTATTGTGACAAATGTTTGTTTGTTTTTTTACATGAGAATACATATTCTTCTGATCAGGTACTGATTTGGTGACATAATAATCCGCTTTATGACAAATTAAGAGAAAATGATTTACCTGTTCTGACGATTTATAGTGCAGATTAACGTTTTTTTTCACAAGTGCAATCAGAAGAGACAAAATTTGAGCTGTCGGTCTCCCATAAATCTAGATCCTTCATCAACAAAAGCAAGAAAATTAAGACAAAAGCTAACAATTGAGAACATATTCAACATTAAGAAACATTTGACCCTATTTGACATCGAACAAAGCCATGGCACGTCGCTCAGACAGAAGTGATAATAAATTATACTTTTAAGCAAATAAATAGGTTTATAAATATGCTGGAAACTGTAACAGAATTACCAGAATTTACGACAAAAGACAAAAAAACATTAACAGATTGAGTGCAGAGCACTGGAATACCAGTAATAATTAAATTGATTTTCATTTACAATTTGAAATATTAGCATTATTCATGTTTTTAGAAGCTCATGATACTTCATTCATAAATTCCCATACTGTGTTAATACTTCTCTGTGACAGAAATATTAAGATTGTGTATATTGTAACATAGTTCGTGAAGTCATTCTTAAAGAAACTTCAACATTTTCAGTTCTTTGACAGCTACTGAAGTAAGTGGAGATGTGAAAGAAAACCTATTGAGTGGCAGTTAACTTTGTGGTGACACCACTCCAGCTTGTAACTTGATTGGACTTGCTGTGCATCCTCTGTATCCTGTAAAACTCCATTTCAAGCCCTGCCCTTAACCTAATTAGAAAGATGAACTTCTTAGGTTTTAACATACCATACAAATTTTTAGCCTAATGACTCACAACATTTTCCATGGAGACAACCGTGGCCAAATCAGTTTCAAACAAACACAGGACGTGAAAATGTAGTGGGGCTTTTTTTTTCTTTTCTAATTTTGTGGTGAGTTCGGGTTCGAACTGTTTAACTGATTATATTTTTCATGTCAGTCATGAAAAAGCCCCACTCTTAGGACTAGAACACTGGTGACTGATCACTGTTCACTACTGTTCTGATGATAAAGGCCAATGCAAAGATGTATACATCTATTACTGTATGTCCCTGTACCAAGATACATACTGGAGCACTGAAGTGGAAAAGTCCAAATGAGGAAAAAAAGGAAAGGGGATGTCTTCTCAAAGTGTAGAGGGGATGAACACAGAGTGTGAAGGCCATCTGAAGTTAGTTTAGCTAAAGCTGGGGAGTTTAGCGGGCAGGAAGAGGCAGGATCTGGAGATTGGAAGAGACTTTGCCTCATGTTTAGATCCCGGCAGCACGGCACACGTGTTGTGAGATCAAACGCAAACCAGGTGCTCTGGTGTAATCAGATCTACATCGAATCTGGCGTGGGCCTGATTGTGTCTGTAAGTACAGGACACCACGTGCGAGAGCACCACATGTCGCCGCATGAAAACAAAATCAGACACAGATCGGTGAAACCCCGAGGCTTAGAAGTAAGGACAGGGGATAATGAGCCCGATGAGAAACAGTCGCTTACAGTCCACGGCAAAAGATCGGTGGGACGGGAGCAGCTTGCCCTCCACTCATCGGTTCGTCGTGGATCAGTTAGGTTGACGAAAAAGCACACCTGCATTTTGACAGGGTCCCTTCATGCCAGCATTTTCTCGGGATTCTTACAGTGCGCCTGCAGAAGGCTTCTCTGGAAGTCCTCCTCCGGGATTTCAGGAACCAGGAAGTCCAACAGAAGATCCAACAAACAGTAGACCAGGTGTCTGTGGGAGCACAAGATGAGCAGTCTTAGTTTTTGTAGCAAAGCCTTTTCTAATTAACAATGTTTAAAGTACAGTATAACGTTAACATTTTGCAATAGGAAGGTTGTTGAACTTATACTTAGCTTCTTAAAATACTTGGGAAGATTTTGTATCGCTGTGTGTGTAACTATCAAGTGTGTAACTTGATATATTCATGTTACTGATCTAATATGTATATTTCCTACCATAGGTGGATTTAGAAATAAGCAAATATAAGTTAGTATATGAATTCCAAATCCTTTTTCTTATTTCTAATCTAAACCACAATCAGCCTGCATTCAACTCCACTCCAAGTACATATGGTCTCTGATTGGAACTGTAAACCTTAAATCGTCATTGACCGTACGGTGTGCGTTTACCTGTTAATGGACGAGTCTTGAAAAGAGTCTAGAGCACTCTGCCAAGTGAGTTTGTACTTATCTGAGCCCAACATGTCCGAGACCAGATCTAAAGAAACAAAGACATGGCTACTGATGGAAAACTCTGTAAATGGCTGTCACATGCAACCCTCCAAAGAAAGGTCATTTCCAAGAACAGTACAACTCTATCTCAACACTAGAGAGCTTAAAATGTGTCATTATGAGTCGGTCACCGTTGTGTACCTGGTAGAACTCTCATCAGACAGTCTAACGCTTGTTTCTTGGTGGCGTCCTTCTGCTGCTGGCTGCGTTCAGGTTGCAGGGTGACGGGGAGAACTCCTCCTGGCCATACCGCCTCCTGGATGACCTGGAGGTACACCACCCAGTAGCTGGTGCACGTTAGGTTGGCCACACTCACCTCCAGCCATCTAAAATTCAGGAAAAAAACAACAATAGGCTGCAAGTTACTATTTATGTCTAAAACGACCCAAATGTATTTTAAATGATATCCTATCCAACTATGCCCACTTAAGAATACATGGGTTTACAGACGATTCCAGCTAGGTTTTGGATATTCAGATTTTAAAATATGTACATATACTGTTACTGTGCACAGACTGAGATCTCTACATGACACTGTACAAATACTTTGATAGTATTAGGAAAAATCACTGATTTGATAAGTAAATATTGTCATCATTTTGTATGATTACTTCCACTATGATCCTGTCCTCAAACCAGCTCATCTTTTACCGTGTAAACTCTGCCTTCCTTTATTCCCAGGCAGGATTTAATCTTAGGGTGCCCCACAGAGGCCTGCTATGGTCTTAACAGAGGAAGCGGTGTCAAATCGAGGCCATTTCCCCTTTATTTCATCCACATCGCCGCATGATTCAAGGGCAGGTGGGGAATTTCACCAGGGCTTACGTGGCCCAGGGGTTCTGACCCCTTTCGCTTCCCCCATTTGTTTTTAACACCAGGATTTACCATCAGTAGGGTGGAAAGAATTAGTTGCCACCCAAGCTAGAGGAGGATATTTAAAGCACCGAGGAGAAGCTAAACAATGCATCGGAGGCATTCGGGCAGTTTGCAGGTCGACTAGCTGATCTTTGGGGTGACACTTTAAGGAGGCAGTAGTTTAAATGACAGCAGAGACACTAGTTTTATGCCAAAAATGTAACTCGTTTTTGGCTTTAAAATGATTTCATAACACATATGAAGAATTATGTTCTGTAAGATTTTATATTTTTTTATCTCAGGGCTGTGAAAGAAATGGGTACGTGCCTCAGAACCCAATTCAATTCAATTTTATTTATATAGCGCCACATCACAACAACAGTTGTCTCACAGCACTTACCAAACAGAGCAGGTCAGACCCTACTCTGAAGTTAATTACAGAAACCCAACAATTCCCACCATGAGCAAGCACTAAGCGACACAGGCAAGGAAAAACTGGCAAGGCAACCCAGTGTCCAGTCTGTTTCTACTACTTTTACATAGCCCCAAATCACATTATTTTGTCAGTTTCTTGTGACCAGTTACTACATAATGAGCTGAAACCAAGCCTGGATAGTTTGAACTATTCCATTGCACATACTTATTTAATGCAGTATTGCTTAGTGGTATAATGTAAGTCAATACTTAAATAAATAGTTATGATGATGTGCACATAAATCAAGAACAGCCAGTATAATGCAAGGGGAATGATGTCTGATCAAACGATGTTCTGAATAGAATTCTTTTAATTAAAGGAGTCTTTTTTTTGACTCATCAAATCTTCAAGTGACTGGCAGTAAAAATGATTGAAGCACACCCTCGTTTGCCTGTGATGACGGGTAGTTTGGGGCAACAAGGGTAGGGACGTGTTTACTCACTTGTGTGGAAAAACTGACAGCGAGGCGTTTCAGACAAATGGCTGAATGAGTCTCTGCGCTGTTGTGTGGGAACTGACATCAGCGGTCCCGTTTCAAAATTCTAACTAATCACTGAAGAGTCATCATCGAAAAATGTGACCCAGTACAGCCTATGTCATCCTTCTATGTTGTAGCTCAAGATTTGTTCCCTTGGAGATGGCGGTGAGTTATAACCCCTCAAAAAATAGAGGCTAAAACGGTTCCTGCAAGACGCCACATCTTAAGAGTAATTCATTTTTGGGTTTAACTGGACATTGTCTGTCAGTCAGTCAGACCAGTATATTGTGGATTTTCAGTTTATTAGGAGCCTTGGAAAATCAATACAGTGACACTTAGTGCTTCCTTCTACAGTAAATCTTTACAGCATTTAAATCTTTGGATAATGCCTGGCTGTTGGATTATGGGAAATATTGTTCATTCCTTAAAGGCCCTGTCACGATAATGTAAATGGCTCTTAGTAATTCTAGGCTTTGGATGAGAAGAACCCACATCAATCCAACCAGTGTAGACAAGATTTTAAACCCTTAATGGGAGAAACAGTTTATCCATGGGTCTAAATAACAGGGCGGGAACCCAGTTGGGAATTAAAAAAAGACATGGGTCACTCATTTCACAATCACAAATAAGGCTAATCTTCCAAAGCAATTTCAAGTCCCTTTGGAGGGTCTGAATCTGTTCTTGGGCAGCCAATTTTATTTAGGTTATCAATTTGTCAAATACACATAGCTGGAAAGGGAGATACTATATTGGTTTCAGTAAAATGCTTTCCAACACTTTTAATTCCTTATAATTAATGTTGCACCTCTAGTTTGTCCAAGTCTGAGTGACTCATTGTTTCATTAAATCTGTACATAATTATTGAATATACATGGGTCTTCAGAGTAAGTGTGGTATAAATCTTAGAATTTTAATGACTTGTTTTTAGATGATTGCAGTTTGTACTAGGACTTCTACTTTGTTTTTGCCCATTGAACATCTATGTAATGAGCAGCATCACATAAAGTGGTTCTCCAACTTTCTGCCCCGAAGCTCACTGGGGATTATTCAAACCGGACTGGGAGTCATGGTGAGACTGGACAATATGCGAGGTCAAAAGCAGCAAATAAACACATCCAATGTGTGTAGTCTAAATAAGTGCATCAGCACTCACACAGGCAAGTCTGTCTTTCATCATAAATTACCTCCACATGTTTAGCTGCAGGCCCGAGTGTCTGGAGTACAATGTACTTCTGCTCATAAAAAGTGGACCTCAATTTATTTATTTTTTTTGGAGCAAGTGGAAACATAAGACAATAAACAGAAAGAACACTTTCTGCCGTTTCACTGCTGAAACTGCACAACAAAAGCGTGCCGAGATAATAAAAAGGGAGTTCATAAACTATGATCTGATCTAACACCGTTACCACACAAGCTATTATCAGGTGGGTTTAGCGTGGAGAGAATCCAGATGTTTTTCAGTAGACCACACCCAACGCAGTTACCAAAGCTAGAGTTGTTGGTGTTTGTTTTTTCAGCTTTTTTTTACTGTTAATCATACACAGTTCCCTCTGAGACTCGAACCGGGACCAGAGGTGACAGTGCTGACCACCACACTCCCCCTGCCACCCACCTACTAGGGTCTAAAAAATACCAAAATATTAAATGATATACCCAGAAATCATCACGCATGAAAGGCATCAGCTCCATTCAAAAGGTTGATACCAGCTTTGGTGCTTTGGCTGATGTTGTCATTCACTTAGGTAATGGCAATTTGTTTGTGAGTATATTGTATATAAAATGCATTATTAAATTATGTTTTCCCTAAAATGTATTCTTTCAAGGGGATTTATTTGCTCCATCTTCAAATATGATCATATGGATACTCTGAAAAACCAATACTTTGCCTTTCTTTATTCTGGAAATTTCTTTCAAAAGTAACTTTAAACCAAGTCAACCATTTCAAGGACATCTTATGTGAGAATTTTTATTCTGGATGTAGAATGCATTGCATCCACTTAATAGATCGGAGGCTCAGTTGTTTCAGTTTGTGCCCAAAATCAAGCCAGTGTCAATTAGATATCGAAGTTGGATAGGTACAAGTGGTTTATTCTGTGTTACACACAGCTCATCTCACCCTTTTTACCCCACCTCCTGCAGACCCAGAGAAGTAAGAGTGGCAAATCAAGCTGCATGAGCCAAAGCTACTTAGAATATTTACTGTCTCTCTAGGTCAGGTGTCTGTGCCAAGGCGTCGAAATAATATTTCATATATTTCAGAAGAGAAGTTTACATGAATTGTTGAACCTTTAATCTTTTATACTCCGTTTCATTGGACGCTTTCTATTTTTCAGAAGTTTGTTGGGTTCTATTTCCTGTAAAACACTTCGAGTTGCGCTTATGTTTGAAAAGTCTGGGCAACCTTGCAGATTCCATTCTTTCTTATAACTTCACAGAAGTAAAAATAAAGTAAACAGCAGGTGCTCCTCCAAACCAGTTCTGGTCAGAAGGAGCAGCTCGGTTAAATTTAGAGGTCAGCCTATGATGAAGTGTTAATTGTTCAGTTTTAAGAACCGGCGCTTACTCAGAGCTGCTGCTGCTGGGCAAAAGGAAAAAAACGCCAAAGTTAAGGCCTCGTATCATAATATGCTAAAGATAATGTAGCCCTGATGGATTTAGTGTTTTCTATGTTAAATTACCTTTTTTTTTTAAATGTCCATCTGCAATCTGCCCGTATTAATTCAAACCATTGTGTGTTTCTGCCATGTTCCTCACATTATGCTAATTCTGCATATGCTTAAACGGTAATCAGTACAGTTTCTTCCTCCCAAAAAATATGTTGTTGGACTTTGCAATGACAATAGTGTATATTCTATTCTATTAATAGGTCTGAAACTGTTCTTTTTTTTTTCCACTCGGCAGAGCCTACCTACCTCCAAACAGCCAAGCACCAAAAAGCTCATTCCAAAAAAGGTCAACTTGTTTGAGGAAAAATTAGAGAGAATATTTAATGGTAACCGACAGAACTTTTTGAATATCTTTATGGATTTATTACCATACTCAGACTTATGACACTGGTCCTACAATTGACTCTTCGTGGGTTTGGGTTGGTCATGTATTTCTGCATTCAGTTTTCTCACAGCTCTGATGACAATGACAACAAAAAGAAATAAATTAGCACAAAAATAACAAAAATAATCAGCTTAACTTATGCTTTGATATAATGCCTTACATAGTCGTAACAAATACACAGAGAAAACCCGTTCCAGCAGATTTGAGCAGACTGGTCCCCCCCCCCCCCGGTGATGTGTCGGGGCCTCTGGCTCCGAGATGATCGCATCAGCACCTCGTTTCAAGCCACGGAGTTGTCGTCAAGCTTTTCTGGTCTGTTGACTAAGTTCTGCTAGTTCTGCTCTCCTCTTCCCGTGTACATACGAGCATGTGCACGTGCGTGCCGGCCCCCGGTTTTATTGAGCCAGTCGTGGCGCCTCGGTTCTGACGGCTGGTCAAAACACAGGAACACGTGACGCTACGGCCCA